GCTGACGAGTCTCAAGTGGGATGAAACACACGTCCTGGATTCTTCTGCTCCAGGCATCCGCATAGGAGTTCATAACTTGTCAGTATGTTTGAAGAAAATGTGAATGAACTAGTTGTGTTTCACTAGCCTATTCAGTCACTTCAACTCATGCTGTAAGCAAATCTAAGAGTAAACCAGATACACACAACTAAAACAATCAACCACCTGAAAGAGTCAACTATTTGTAAATACTACGACAAAAAACAGTGATCAGTTAATCGATCATTTGAATGGTTTGTGGAGAACAAATTGATCTGAAGGGTACAATATTGACTGATTACTGAAAAGTGATCAATATTATGCCTTGTTGTCTTAAGTAGTGAGCCGAATACTTTCTACTACTTCGCCATCTGTTTCATCATCAAGTTGAAATACATTCATCAACACAATCCACCTCCAAATGATATTAAGTAGTTGAAGATGAACACTAAGAAGTCGAATTTTCATGACACAACAAAGTTAACTAGAAAACAATTGAGAAATGTGAATCACTGGAAAAATCTTTCGTCATAATTTGAGATATTTCCCTACGTTGAGTCTAGTCTATTCAAACTTTTATCTTCCATCCTAACCTTCAGTTGTTTGCTTGAAATGTGATGCCAATTTGAGACAATATAGTGTGATCGTCATTTAATGTGATTGGTAGGTATGCATCCTTATTTTCAACTTTCGTGAACTCACTGGTCATGGCTTTCTATTAAAACCAATGAACAATCTGGAACTACTGTTTAACATTTCAAGTTGAGGTAGAAGATACCACGATGGAAGATAAAGAAATAAGGAAAAAAGTAGTCAAGATGGTAGAAAGTGGTAAAAAGAGAAGGATAATGAATGCAATAGCAATGAAATTTATGATGAAGATAATATGTGGATATGTGACTGAATATGAATCGCATCAGTTAGAGTTTCGAACCACTGGCTACCGCTGTCAGACAGATGTGAACCAAGAAATTTATATTTCACTATACGTCTCAGAGCAACAGTCAGTGACTTCATCGACTGACGCGAGTTTTTAGTCTAACCACCACCTCTAACCCTCTTCTAGCCCCAAATTACTTCAGCAAACATTGCGCATCGAAGTAAACAGTGGATGACTGACTGGGTATGCGTAACACATGTCATCATCCTATCTTCACCTAACTTTTGTGTCATATGGTGGTTCAGCGATACACAGCTTAGATCATAAGAGTAACGGTGGTCGAACACTTGTGACCTCATGTTCTCCATATTTAACGGCCTTGTTTCACAGCCATATAGTAGAACAGAGCGAACTGCAGCGCAGTACATTCGGCTCTTAATAGGTGATCTCACACCATGCCTGTGCCACAAATGGCCTAATTTGACAAAGGTCAAGAAAGCCTCCTGTGTCCCGCCAGGAGTGTCACTGATCAATAACACGTTCGGGAAGTAGGTTAACACGCTCAACCACTTCACTGCGTATTCTTAGACACGGCACTAACCCAGACCAATCCTGAAGCAGCAGTACACATCTATATAATGGTGAGAAACGCATCCCAAATGTTCTCAATTGCCACTCAAGATTTACAGAAAACTACATCTTGTCAACATCACCTAACAAGACTATATCATCTGAGTAGTATAGACCCACTAAGGAGTCTCCTGTGACAAAGTGGATCGCTGTTAAGCCAGAAGAGAAGAGGGAGGCATCCATAAGCGCGTCTATGGCAAAGACAATATGAACACCTCTAACAGAGAGCCCTCAACGCAGACAACTCGTCTGATGTTATCTCGAACGCTATAGCACGCCCACCGGGGTGTAACCCCTCGGTCACCATGTACTACCCGTTTAAAGATAGGAAGTTAAGTGCTAGAATGCTTTAATTACGCCATTTACTTGAAAAGTTACATCAACTCAAATGGGTTGGTTTTTGACAAACCTTAGCCTGGTTTCATTTGACATTTAACAACTTGGTTATCTCTGGCGCAGGCTGGCGAGATACCTAACTACTGAGCTGCAGTTTGTTCAGTCTCATCATACGGATATGACGCATTAGTGTTGAAGGTAGATGTGAAGAGATTAAAAGTTTTTGGTCACAAATATTTTCGGAGCATTGCTCACCCATTATGAAATTACCGTGCGAAAAATGTTGAGGGATAGGCGAAGGATATTTAACTATCCATCAATGAGGTTGTGAAAGTTCGCTCACAGAAGTGGCTTGAATATATGTTACAACTACCGAGCCGAAACCTACTTCGACATGCAATGTGTGTTGTAAAGAGGCTCAAGATGGTAAGGTGAAATCGTTGGATCAGTCCATGAAGTATCTGACTGTTAACTTGAGTCATGTAGGCAGCTGTGAACACCCTGGAGATAACATAAATGAATGATTGGATAATCTTGATGAAATGGTTAAAAATCGGTCATAATGGCAAGGATGTATTCACCCTTCAATATCTTCTGACTTATATTTTCAAATTCTTTCTCCTAGTATACATTTTTGTCTACTTTGATATTATCTTTTCTCTCAACCGAAATTGTTCTTTGCATGCTATGGTGAAGTGTGGTTTCGTCTGTCTGTCACTTCCCACCACCTACAGTTAATCATAAATCGACCGTCTGAAAAAGCAGCTATGCTAAGCGCTACATCAGAACTTTAGAAAAACAATACGGTCAGAAGTAGCTAGTCAGCAGTGAATTATTAGCTATGCAGCTTATTTGTCAAGGAATCAACTGGACTACGGTGATAGGTGGCTGAGTGATTAAATCACTGTAGAACCTCACAAACAGATGCATCACCTCAAGTTACCACACTTCACAGTAGTACACAAAGAACAAGAACAGGTGAGTAGAAAAAGTTGTGTGAGAGACTAAATCTGAAGGTAACGCGTAGTGCAAATATTCAAGCTTTACAAGATGTCAAGGAGTGTATGCCTCTGAGCCACTGTCACTAATTTTCAGTCATATCACCAAGTGTGCTCAACCACTGATTCCTTTCGTCTCCGTGACCCCAATCAGGCGGTCTGCGATCCCCCCTCCCACACACGACTCAGACTAACAGTCAGAGACTTCACCGACCGGTGTCACGTCTTCATCTTGTCCCCCCCCCCCGGAACCCTCTTCCAACCTAATCTAACTTCTCTTAGCATGACACGTCAAAGTAAGCGGTGGCTTGGCATAAGCAGTACATGTTCAATCCATCTCAATCGACTAAGTTTCACAACCTCATCTACTGACTTGCCAGTTTTGCTTAGTACTCTTTATCTGACTTCAAAATTACTCATGCAATGTTCCACCCAATCCCAACAATAGTACAAAGACATTGTGTCCAATACTGTGTAACATACAAACTAAGATATACTGAACCAACTGTACATTACTTTACAGTCTTTTTGTACGCAAATCCTAACTGCTAATATTACTTCATGATTAGAAGTGCACTTAAATAATAAGGCGAGCCCCACCTCCTTCGGCTAACTAATAGACAAATAAGTCCAACCCTACCACAATTCATTACTGTGTCTTTTCAATGTCTTCTTCAAATTAAAAACAAAATGGTTATCATTTGATTATCTGAGATAGCCGTGGTTTGACAGACAAGTATTGTTACTGGATGATGATTGAAGGCGAGATGAAAATCTGGACCACGGCTGGATTCGAACCGGTGACCACCAGGTTACTGACCCGTGCTCTACCAACTAACCTAGGAGGTCCGACTGTTTACCAGAATTTTATTTCACTTCAATCAAAAATTGGGTTTTGGCCGCTACCATGTGAATTCGTGACGCATTACTACAGCTTGGTCGTATTCACACTGGCTGCTGCCTAGTCAGGAATACGGCTACCTCAGATAGTGGAAATGATAATCAATATGATGCTCCCTCTCTGTGATTCAGTTAGATTTGAATTGCGATGAGAAGTCTTGACTAGGCAGCAGCCAATGTGAATACGATCAAGCGATCATCCATTAGTATAAAAAATCATCCACCATCCAGATCAATCTGGGACCAGGCATTACTGCATAACGGTCCAATTTACCGCCACACCTCATATCACTACATCAAGTAAAAAGGCAGTGAAATGAAGGATGAAAATAAGAGAATGCAGTCAAAAGAAATATCAAGTACAAAAAGAGGGAAAGGAAGAATGAGAAAATGGTGAGATTCAGTGTAGAGTCATTAAGATGAGGATAATGTGTGTGTGAGGATACATCTACGACACTGACATCGGTTCTCAGCCATGTGATCACCTAGAGTCAGTCTCCAATCACTATTGGTTTCTCTGGTCACGAACATCCCAACCACCTAGTCTGCACTGTCCCACATGGCTCAAACCAACAGTCAGACACTTCATACATTGTTGCATGTTTTAGTTGGCCGCCCCTCACCTTTTTCCAGCCTGAACTCACCTCAGCCAACATTGTGTGACAAGGCAATCGGTGACTAGGCATACGTAACATATGTCGAGTCAACTATCTCAGTCGATAACGGTTCAAAAACTCGTCAACCGACTTACCTCTTCTCTCTAAAACTTCACACCTGACTTCAGCGTTACTCATGTGGTGACACCACGGAATACGGTGGCCTATACTACGAAGACAATGGTGATGATCAAACACCTGAAGCCAGCCTTCTCATATCTTCCACCTTCAATGGCCATGTTTCACAGCTATAGAGTAGAACAGAGCGGACTTCTGTACAGCACACGCAATCGTTAATAGACAAAAGAACGTCACGGCGGTGCCTCAGGTGATGTAAGTTGAAAGAAGCCAATTGAGACTTTTGTATCCATGCAGAGAAGTATAAAGAAATGGTTCGTTATGTAATAGAAAAAAGATCTTTATTATACATTTCAATAGCAGCAACAAAATAACAACATGAAAAACACTGATTGTTTCTCTCATATGAAAATCATGAATCAATAATATATAAATTTAATTTTTTTTAAAAAAAAAAGGGGGGGGGGAGGGGATAGTAATCGTATTCTCATAGTTTCTTTTGATTCATTCTGATTGTATTTGAGGTAGTACACCGATTTGTCGAAGTGTTGCCAACTCTGTAGATGTATGATAACGACTGAACTCATTGTAGTAGACTTGATGAGATAATTCAGTCAGAAAATTGCATAAATATTCCTAGAATTGAAGAAAAAAAAAACAAAGATGAAGCATAACAACATAAGTGTAACATATGAAGAAGAGAAAGAAAACCATCTGCCACTTTTGAATATACTTCTAAGTTGTAGAAATTAATTGTTCAATAAAACGGTCGATCTAAAGGAAACCTACTTAGATAGGTTAGTATTTAAGTTTCCATAGCTTTTGTCTAACTCAATACAACCAAGGTCTAGTGGCTTGCCTATTTAAAAGGATTCAGCGTATTTGTACGGAAGACTCAATGAATGATGTTGATATCAAAATACTAACTGGAACATTAGTAGAAAATGGATATCTATTGAAATTCATAAACCACTGCAAAAATCAGCAAGGATTCGAACTTAATTAGTACTCTGTTTCAAAGAAATTCGTTTACATCATATTACCATACATAGGGGAACCCAACAGTATAATATTAAAACGAAGGTTAATGTCTGTGTTATTAGCAAAACGTACTATCCAATGAACTGTTCAACTGTCCAATGAAATCACCAACATCTAGATTGATTCAAAAAAGTTTAAAATCTACTTCATTTCTGGCAACTGAAAAATATAATGGTGTTCTAGTATTCTCTCAGCTTTGATATTTTCTTATGAAGGTTTCATGGCTAGACTTAGCGACATCTTTAGTATTTATGAATTACTAGGCAGCGTTTTTACTGACTTTGAATATTGCCATTTGTAAATTGTAGAGGAAAAATTTTGATTACACCCTGACCTCTTTCATACTAAACTTCTTTCAGTTACATCATTAGATATTGTCTGTTAGCGTGATATTCTGCAGTCTGTTGTTGTTGTTATTGTCATACTGTGTGCGTCATTATTGACTTTTTTGGTCAATTTCCTCCTTGGGTAAGGGTAGATTGTGTAGACTGGATGTATCATTAATATTTTCCCCTGGGTTCCCCTAGTGGAACATATGCCTTCAGTAAAACACCTACATTCCACTCTCTTCTCTTCAGTCTTTTCAACCTCACTCCACCACTACCAAAAAGCTAATTTCATTTCTTCCTCACATCATCTACTCCATGTCACCATCGACTCAGACGTCCAACTCGTCGTTTCCATTTAGATTCCACTCACCCTGAACTAAAGCGTGATGTCCCCAATCGGCCTTCTTTCTCACTGTATCCCCAATCCAATGCATCTACACCTTCAGCATATTTGTTGGGTGATAGGTTCTTGCTTCGTTGGTTGGTTCGTTGCCAGCCAGTCAGTCAGTCAGTCAGTCAGTCAGTCAGTCAGTCAGTCAGTCAGTCAGTCAGTCAGTCAGCCAGTCAGTCAGTCAGTCAGTCAGTCAGTCAGTCAGTCAGTCAACCAACCCAACCAGCCAAACAGAGTTCCTTCCTCCTCATTCTCATTATTCTGATCATCTGATCTTCAGTGTCAGTATCGAGTCAGCGTAGGCAGCAGCTGTTCGTGAATATCTGCAATTTGTTGGAAATGCTTTCCGTGACACGCAAAGTCTCTGAACCATCACATAGCAGCATTGACTTGACTGAATTAGTGTTGAAAATCCACATCTTGTTCATGCTTTATGCTGAGTGGCGTGGAGTGCAGTAGATCTCCACAGTGATCACTTTCAGTTTAATGCAGTAAGGTCTGTCTTGCTGTCTTTCCGATCCTGGCTCGTTTTGATATCCTCATCTGTGCGTGTGCTGCCTGTAGTTGAGACGATGCTACCTAGATAGGTGAATTAAGCTACTTCCTTTCATTTTCTTCCATTGATGGTGATTGGAGCTTGTTGTTGTTGTTGTTGGTGTTGTTAGTTGGGTGTCTTCATCACCTGTGTCTTGTCTACATTCACCTGAATGAAGTCCCATCTTCCTTCTCTGCCTCACCTCTTCTGTCAACCTGTTAGTTTTTGCCTGTAGATCTTCGAGTTTGTGTGATAAGACATTAGACATACGTCATCATTATTGGCGGCAAAGTTCAAATCTTCTGGGCTCTTTTCATCGGTCAAACAGAGTATGCCCATCTCACTCCTGATGGTTTGTTGCATGATCCAGTCGATCACAATTAGGAATATCATGTTGATAGTAGTGGCAACATTGTCTTACTCCTGTTTTTCCTGCAAAGTAGACTGGATGTATACCCAGTTGATATTCCGTTTGAATGCTATGCTTCTAGAAATTCTCTCGCACTTTTAGAACTCGCTCTTAGAAGGATTTTCACATCATGATTATTTAGATGCATCGAAACTAAGGAGGTTGCATCATATCTCATTACTGTTACTTGGTATTCATGAGTGTTTTGGGCAATCTCACAACTAGATTGGTTAACATAATGTTATGAACAATTTTTGTGATTGCTTTTATTCTGTCTTCTAATGGTAAGAGATTCTTTGGTTTACACAATATACTGTGTAGTAATTCCCTTAACTTATGTGCAACTCTGATTTCCAAAAGGATGAAGCAATTGGTTGACTATTTCTGAGAAAATATCTTTGATGTAAGGTAGTGTAACTTGTATACTGATTTAAAAGAATCACTCTATCCTCTAGGTTGTTGATGGTAAACACTTTTTGATAAATTTTCAGGGAGTTGTGGAGATTTGGAAATATTTCAAGTTGTTATTCATCGGAGACTGACATCAGTTGGAGAAACAAAGGAAACCTGGGAGCACTGGACAGCCAACTGTTTCGTCCTAGTATGGGACTCCTCAGCAGTGCACACCCACGACCCAACCACCAGGGATCGAACCTGCGACCTTCATGTTCCGCGGCCAGCACGTTATCATTGAGCCACTGGGTCAGAATCCAATGCTCCATATTTCCAACTTCTGTTAGCTCACGATATAGAGCAAACCGCCACACAATGTCATCGTTGAGTATCTGTCCTCACGGCCATCAGGCTTTGACTCCACCGGTCACGACTTGTCACTGGAACTTCGGGAATACTTCTCGAAGCTAGTCAACAATGAGCACCAGTTCAACCCCTGCTGGTGGGGTTGTGGGTGCGCACTGCTGAGGAGTCCCATACTAGGACGAAACAGTTGGCTGTCCAGTGCTCCCAGGTTTCCTTTGTTCCTCCAACTGATGTCAGTCTCCGATGAATAACAACTTGAAACTTTTTGATAAAGTTGGGCGGATAATCATTGGCTTTGAAGGTATTTTTCTTCGACTTTCCGTTATACTTCAGTACTGCAATATGTTTTGCCTGCATTTGAGAGTAATCTTTGTACATAACATTTATTATAGACTGTACGATGATTGTTGTAGTGTGTGTGTGTGTGGTTTTCCTGTAAACTTGAGTTTGTAAAGTACCGTCATGTGTTCCGCTGATGAGGACATCTAAGAATAGAATTTTCTCATTGGATTCTTCCTCCTTTATAAAGTGAATTACCTTCAAATATGTTGATTGTCTAGTTTCAATGTGTATTCTATTTCATCTTCTTTGAGAATAAGGAATGTGATTTGACTATCTGAGATAGCCGTAGTTTGGCATACTAGTATTTGTACTGGGTGATAATGACGAATTTACATCGTAGTCGGCGAAACCCTTGATGATTGAAGTGAAATAAAAATTTGGTCAGCAGTCAGACCTCATAGCTCAGTTGGTAGACCATCGGGTCGGTAACCCCATGGGTTTTCTGGTTCGAATCCGGCCACGGTCTAGATCTTCATCTCATCTTCAATTATCACCCAGTAAAAACAAAGAAAGTTGTCTTTCTCAAATACCTACAGCAATTAATCATGATAATCGTGATTCGATGAGTGTCCCTTTTGTTTGTTTGTAAATCTTCCCATTGAATTCTAAATAGGTTGTGAGACATAACTCAATCAACTTCATTAGTCCTAGAACTGTGATCTTCGTATTGTCAATAAAAACAGTATCTAAACATTTATGTAACATCGGACTATACTTCACCTCTTTGAAGTGAAGAAGAGTGTGTGCAAAGACAAAAGACACACAGATTGGCAACTGAAGCAGAACAGGTTGGAGGTAGGAGAGACAGAGATCTAACACATTACATCTAATAATCAGGTTACTATCTGGGAGGGAAGAGATCAACACAGATGAAACCAATAAAAGATGATAGTGAAGGGAACTTAGTTACCAAAGTAGAGAAACAAAGGAAACAATTGGCTGACTACTTCAACAAAACTCTTGAGTCGACCACCGCCTACAGCTCGTCCAGAAATGCTACCAGCAGCCCAGCCACAGAACTGCCAGTGAACACAAGCTCTCCAAAAAAACCAGAAGTGAAGCTCTGAACGTCATAAAGCCACTGAAAGACGGGAAAGCAGCAAGATCAGATGGAATTTCTCCAGAGGCACTAAAAACAGACGCAGAGACATCGGTGGACATGTTCACACAACTGTTGTAGAAGGTTTAAGAAAAAGGGAAAACAATATCTGCAAATTGGACGAAGAGCTACTTTTTCGAGCTTTCCAAGAAGGGCGGGCGACCTAAGTATCTGCATTCAAACGGAATATCAACTGGACATACATCCAGTCTACCTTTGAAGTAAAAACAGGAGTAAGACAAGGTTGCCACCTACTATCACCCATGATATTCCTAATTGTGGTCGACTGGATCATGCAGCAAACCATCAGGAGTGAGATGGGCATATGCTGTTTGACCGTTGAAAAGAGCCCAGAGGATTTGAATTTCGTCGCCGTTGATGGTGACGCATGTCTAGTGTCTTATCACACAAACTCGAAGATCTACAGGCAAAAACTAACAGGTTGACAGAAGAGGTGAGGCAGAGAAGGAAGATGGACTTCATTCAGGTGAATGTAGACAAGACACAGGTGATGAAGACACCCAACCAACAACACCAACAACAACAACAACAAGCTCCAATCACCATCAATGGAAGAAAATGAAAGGAAGTAGCTTATTTCACCTATCTAGGCAGCATCGTCTCAACTACAGGAGGCACAGGCACAGATGAGGATATCAAAACGAGCCAGGATCGGAAAGACAGCAAGACAGACCTTACTGCATTAAACTGAAAGTGATCACTGTGGAGATCTACTCCACTCCACTCCACTCCACTCAGCATAAAGCATGAACAAGATGTGGATTTTCAACACTAATTCAGTCAAGTCAATGCTGCTATGTGATGGTTCAGAAACTTTGTGTGTCACGGAAAGCATTTCCAACAAATTACAGATATTCATGAACAGCTGCCGCCTACGCTGGCTTGATACTGACTCTGAAGATCAGATGGCCAGAATAATGAGAATAAGCAAGAAGGAACTCTGTTTGGTTGGCTGGCAGACTGGCTGGCTGGCTGGCAACGAACCAACCAACGAAGCAAGAACCTATCACCCAACAAATATGCTGAAGGTGTAGATGGATTGGATTGGGGATACAGTGAGAAAGAAGGCCGATTGGGGACATCACGCTTCAGGTCATGGTGAGTGGAATCTAAATGGGAAACGAAGAGTTGGACGTCTGAGTCGATGGTGACATGGAGTAGATGATGTGATGAAGAAATGAAATCAGCTTTTGTGTAGTGGTGGAGTGAGGTTGAAAAGACTGAAGAGAAGAGAGTGGAATGTAGGTGTTCTACTGAAGGCATATGTTCCACTAGGGGAACCCAAGGGAAAAACAATAATCGTAATAATAAATAATATTGTACCCTCTTCATCATCATCCTCATTTTCAACTGAGGAATATATTACGGGTATATCAAGCCTCCGTTTAATTACTGATTTGAATCACAGAGTTTTGTGGAATGATAAAATAATGGGCAAAATAATCGAAATATGAAATTGTTAAACAATAAATATAACACTGTGATATTTTTGATTTGTGTCTGTAGAATATAGAAAATCAATAGATGATAAGTTAATGTTATCAATAAATATACACATATACTTTAAAGCTTATTGTTGTACAGACCTAAGAAACATGATTGTTTACTCTGAACGAACATATACAACTATAGTATCGCCTTGAATATCATCTTATTATTGATAAAGTTGTTGTTGTTATTTTAAGTCTACATATCATGCAGGTAGACGAAAGCAGTGAAATAGATGAGATCTGTGCTTAGCTGTATCATCTAGAGTCTCTCTATATACCAGTAGTTTCTGTTGTCACATTTGGATCCCAACCAGGAAGTCTATACTCCTTTACACAGTTTCATGTAATGGTGTCATGTTTTCAGTCTCATCACTTCTAACCTTTCTCTAACCTAAACCTACTTCAGCTACCTCAACCAATGAAGGTTAACAACTTCATCAACAGCTTAAAACTCTACTCATGACTTTCACACTACAACAGGTTAACCACAGTTGGAACAGCTCAGTGGTAAGGTGTCTGACTGCATCACTGGGTGACATTAGTTCAAACCTTCAACGGGACATCACCTTCATAGAGGTTACTGACGAGGCTTAATTAAGTGCAAAACCTACGTTGAATAGGGCTTCCTGTCAATTGCATTCAATCATCTAAAACTAACTAAGTTAGATAGGCTTCATTGGACTTTGAATAATTCACAACTTCCATTTCTACACTACACTGGATCATTAGAAGTATATGTGAAGTATTTCATCATTGGGCGTCAATAAAAAAGTAAATGTTTTACATATGAGTACAAGCAACAGATTCGAAGATGGAAATTCCACTAACCTTTAAATTTACATCCATAATAGGATCTGTTGAATAGATTGGATCTTCAGATGAAGTAGGATCATCTTCATCATCAATATCGTCTGCAAAGAGAGAGAAAGAGAAAGAGAAAGAAGTAGTTGAGTTGTTTTCTTTCAAATTAAAAAGGTATCTCCAGCTGACGAGTCTCAAATAGGACGAAATATGCATCTTGGATTCTACTGCTATCCACCATTAATATCAAAACTGATAATCGTGAATATCAAGGTATCCATCTACACAGGAGTTCAGATGCTTCTAGTGACCTATCACTTCAGTCCAATCAGAAGCGAAGAATTACAAGACTCTTTTTCTGTCTGATCGATTAATGGTTCTGGTTGGAGGTTTGTGAAGATTTATTGATTTAATTTCAAGTTAGTATTCATCATAGACTGACTGACGTCAGTTGAAGAACACCCAAAGTACTTGACAGCTGTTTCCTCCTAATATGGGAGTCCGAAAGAATAAGTACTCTTGATCTCCTTGCTATGGATCAAACTCAGCGGTCAGCAACGTTATCGGTAAGTTAATGGGTCGGTATCCGATAGTCCACATTTCCTACTTTTATCAGTTAACAAAATAGTAAGACCTCCAACCAATGACAGTGACTTACTTCTAGATAAGATTCCCGAAGTTCTAATAAGCAGCCATGATCGGTGGGTTCAACCGAGTCGGACATGAGGACAGTTATTCAACGGGATGGTGTTGGAGGGTGATCTAGCTATTTCGTGTGAACTAAGAGAAGCAGGAAATGTGTATCACTGGACGCTAACCCACTGACTTAATGGTAATACGCTGACCGTGGAAACCTCGCCTGGTTAACTAGTTCACTAGTTACTAGCTGGTCCTAAGCCCGGGTAAAGAGAGAAGGTTGGGCATACGGCTAGCAACCCTATCCCGTAAAACAAATCTAACCGCTAAACAAACTTCAAAGCACAAACAAATATAAAAAATAAAACAAAATTATTCCTCGCTGGAATCGGAGAGGCGAAATGACGCCAGTTGGTGAAAGCCTGCCTTCGGGAAGCCAATTGGCCCATGTGTCTTCCCTCCCTCGATGAAGGCGAAAGTAAACGTGGGGACACGTAATGTCCGCATCATGTTTGAACCCAGCAAGGCAGCCCAGATTGCAAATGAGATGAGAAGGTATCACATCGAAGTGCTTGGGATTTGCGAAAGCAGATGGAATGGGAGTGGACTCTCCAAACTGTCAACTGCAGACGAGAGTCAATAATCTACTCCGGTCACCCAGACGACAACCACCAGCATACTGAATTTTGGAGTGGCTATCATGATGTCCCCAACACCATCGAAGGCTCTCACGCAATAGGAACCAATCTCCTCCTGCAGGATCATGACAGCAAGATTCAACTCAAAAGGAAGGAAGGTCACAATCATACAATGCAACGCTACACACCTACAAATAATGCAGAGCAAGAGAAGAAGGAGGAATTCTACAGACAACTGCAATCAACACTGGACAAGACGTCAGTTGGCGATATCAAAATTCTAATGAGCGATATGAATGCCAAACTGGGAGTGGACAACACAGGAAGAGAACTAACCATGGTCGAGAGGCGCTAGGTGAGTGATGAATGAGAATGGAGAATTGTTTGCAGAATTCTGTGCATTCAACGATTTGGTGATTGGAGGCAGTGTGTTCAAGCACAAGGATATCCACAAAGTGACATGCATTTCACAAGATGGATACCTTAAACCGAAAATCAGATAGACTTCATCTCAAGTGGAAACGCAGCCTACTTAACACAAGGTCAAGAAGAGGAGCAGATGTAGGCTCAGACCACTATCTAGTGCAAGGAGCCTTCAAAATGAAATTGAAGGCCTTCAAGGAAGTTGGTGATAGACCACAGTTCAAGTTCAACAACCAGAAACTGAAGGAGGAAACTGCAAAGGAAGGGGGACCTAAGTCTTTGCAAGAAGTGGCGCGGGATCACGCTCGTGTCCACCCAAAGCAAGCAAAATATTAAGCCGCACCATCTTGGAGAGAACCAACAATGCTCTGAATTCAACACTACGACCACAACACGCTGGCTGGCTTCAGGAAAAGCAAATCATGTGGGGATCAAATTGCAACGCTACGCATCATTATAGAAAAGAGCATAGAATGGCAGTCAACTCTCCCCCTCAACTTTATCGACTTTGAAAAGGTCTTCCATAGCGTCGATCGACAAGTAATTTGACAGTCGGCTTCTTCAACACTACGGAGTGCCACAAACCTTTATCAACCTCATTCAACAACTATACCCATAAGACGCCATATGCCAAGTGATTCACAATCGGAAGCTCAGTGATGCCTTTGAAGTGAAGACAGGAGTAAGACAAGGTTGCCACCTACTATCACCCATGATATTCCTAATTGTGGTCGACTGGATCATGCAGCAAACCATCAGGAGTGAGATGGGCATATGCTGTTTGACCGTTGAAAAGAGCCCAGAGGATTTGAATTTCGCCGCCGTTGATGGTGACGCATGTCTAGTGTCTTATCACACAAACTCGAAGATCTACAGGCAAAAACTAACAGGTTGACAGAAGAGGTGAGGCAGAGAAGGAAGATGGGACTTCATTCAGGTGAATGTAGACAAGACACAGGTGATGAAGACACCCAACCAACAACAACAAAAGCTCCAATCACCATCAATGGAGAAAATGAAAGGAAGTAGCTTATTTCACCTATCTATGTAGCATCGTCTCAACTACAGGCGGTACACGCATAGATGAGGATATCAAAACGAGCCAGGATCGGAAAGACAGCAAGATACGTTTCATCAATCTGAAACCAGTGTGGAGATTTACTGCACTCCACTCCACTCTGCTCAGCACAAAGCATGAACAACATCCGGATTTTCAACACCAACCTCAAGTCAGTGCTTCTGTATGGTTCAGAGACTTGGTGCGTTACGAAAAGCACTTCCAACAAATTACAGACATTCATCAACAACTGCCACCTACGCTGGCTCCTTACTTAAGATCAGACGGCCAGAATAATAAGAATAAGCAACAAGGAACTCTGGCCTGTCAACGAACCAACCAAGAAGTTACCACCCAACAAATATGCAGAAGGAAGTGGAGATGGATTGGGCATACACTGAGAAGGCTGACTGGGGACATCACGCGTCAGGCCCTCTAGTGGAACCCAGATGGGAAACGACGGGTTGGGGGTCCCAGATGAGGGTGACATGGAGGAGATCGTGCGAGGAGGAAATGAGAGGTTCTAGGCTGTCGTGGAGCTAGGTTCAAAAGATTTCAGAGAACAGAGCGCAGTGGAGACATGCTACTGAAGCCCTATGTTCCATTAGGAACCCAAGGGACAAACAAAACAAACAAACTGACCGTGGAGCCTGAAGATCCTAAGTTCTATCAGTTGAGTGACACGGAGAGTAGTGGGTGCACACTGTTCAAGAATCCCATACTAAAGTAAAACTGCCGTTTAGTGCTTCCAGATTAGTGGTTCTGACGTACACCTCAAGTGTGTTGTTCCAGAGAAAATGTTTTCACCTCTCTGTTTCTGTCTCTCATGTTCCATATTTAATCAATAATCAAGCATTATAATAGTACATACGAGGAAATGAAGACCACTTGATGTCTTAATTATATAGTCAGTCAAAGAACACACATACACACAGGAATATGCATACAGTGATGTTCATACATGAAGAATAATCATCAGGCTTCATATCATATTTTGGCTCTTAGTCTGTCTGTCTATCTGCCTATCCGTCTATCTATCTATATGTTTCTGTGATAATAGAGCATGTGCGTATGTATGTGTGTTCAGTAAGAAATTTGATTGTATGAGTCATCTTGTGTGCATGTAAGTGTGAGTAAGACCGAGAGAAAAGATAGCGGACACAAAGGAACATAACAAATAAACTTCATATTCATTCTGTTAAAGAGACTACACCACTATAAAACATGCTACAGTGACGAGTAAGACTGACGACATGCTACAATTAACATTCTGGTTTAAACATACTGTTCAATTAAGCGTAAATATTCGTTAATCAATAATGATTACTAACTAATCCAATTTGTTTGTTGGTCACCTTACGTCTCATCTTATTTCAAACTCGTCAGCTGCATTTACTTACCATCTCATAGTGAGTGTTGTTCCCGCCAAAACTTCAAACCTAGCACCCATAACTTTAAATATTGAAGCATTATCCCCCTCATTAAGCTTGATTGAGTCACAATAGCCAATTCATGTGAGACAAATATATAGTTTAGTGTTATTGTTTACAGAATTCCACAGAGGAACGCGTATAGCCCTAGTGATTGATCAAAACTCTGACCAATCAACGACACGATAACATCAAAATTGTTATTCATCGTAGACTGACATCAATTGGAGAAACAAAGGAAACCTGGGAGCACTGGACAGCTGTTTCGTCCTAGTATAGGACTCCTCAGCAGTGTGCACCCATGATCCCACCAGCGGGGATCGAACCCGTGACCTTCAGGTTCTGCGGCCAGTGCGTTACCATTGAGCCACTGGGTCAGAAGGTCGCATGTTCGATCCCTGCTGGTGGGGTCGTGGGTGCGCACTGCTGAGGAGTCCCATACTAGGACGAAACAGCTGTCCAGTGCTCCCAGGTTTCCTTTGTTCCTCCAAATGATGTCAGTCTTCGATGAATAACAACTTGAAATAATTCCAAATCTCCACAACTCCCTCAAAATTTAACATCAAACTTATTGTTTGTTTGAAGTAACGTTAAAATAATTCCTTGAACAGTTTCTTGATATCATAAATATGAATAGAATTGCTCTGTGAAGTTGACTTAACATTGTATGATGAAGATACTCATAAAAAACTGGGTAATGATTGAAGGTGAAGTAAGAATTTGGACTATGGTCGGATTCGAACCACTGACCATCGAGTTTCTGGCCTGATACTCTACCAACTCAGCTACGAGGTCCAATTGCTGACCAGATTTTTATTTCACTTCAATCACCAAGGGTTCTGTTCGATTATCATGTGGATTATTGATGCGTTACTACCGCTTTATCGTATTCACACTAGCTACCTCAACATCATCATCAATATCAT